AAATATGAATGATTTGAATCAACATTTTATGCCTTTTAAAATAACTTTTACAAAATGTTTTCATAGATGCTAACGGCTTTCCATAATTGTTAAGTCCAACTCAGAGATAAGTTCAACTTAGGAGTTAGGATCTTTGTGAAACACCCACCAGGACCTACTAAACATAGTACAAGCTTTAACCCTCTCTTGGGTATCAAGAGATAAAACAAACAACCGTCTATGATCTATCCACTAGTAATATGTTTATATGGGAACAGCATGCTGATTGATCTAAACATCCAGATACCCTGGACTTCCGCCCTAACCAATCCTTTAATCACTGCATCATGTCAATCTCTTTTGATTATGAAGAGATTAAGCAATAGCAGTAAACAATAAGTATATAAAAGGGAATGTGCCCCCTGATTGTGCCCCTGTGAAAGGGCTTTAATTTAATAAAATTTAATAAACTTGTCCTTCTAAGTTTTCTCTGCTTCTTCTTTTTTCCTTATTTTGGTGCTTGTCAGTGAATTTGGGATAAAAATTGACCTACAAATTGTTGAATGACCTGTATTATTTCCTCTTTTGCTCACCAGTTTGATAAAGCCCCTTCCCCTTCCATTAAAGAATCAAAGAATCTTGTATTTCTCATTTGGGCCTTGTACATATTTTGATCATATATACTTGATAACTAATAAAGCAAAATTAAAACAGTGACCACCATTGATTTGTCTGATATTCATTTTTAGTACAAGGATCGAGCTCTAAATTTCAATTATAAAAAAAATACTCGGATAAGGAGGAAGATTTTTCCCTCTTGAAATTTGAAAATACCTTGACCTGATTCTGTCATTTACTTCTTAAAGAGAAGGTTGAGTTCTGGGAAGAGGTAAAAAATAATTTTTGAGCGTTATCATTCTTATTATGCAAGTGTGGAAGAACATCAGATAAGACATGTTCCCTGAAAAGCATGGCTCTTCAAATGCCTTCATATTCTAAATATGTCATGTAACATAGTAAAAAGGATTTTTACGCCACGTGTTCGTGTAGTCCCATATACATCTTTCTGTGTACAGTGTTTGTAACTTTACCAAGACTTGGGCACATTTCTTATCATTTTGATGATTCCAGAACCTTGTAATACACACAAATTCTTATATGCTAGATGATCAACCTTTTCTGTTCGATTCCACACCGCTTCTTTCACAATGCAATCACATGACCAGAACTCAACTTCATCTTTAATACAGCCGCGACCACCCAGTAGGTAGACCCACCCATAATCTTTTGTGTATGTAACTTAGTCATAATTACAGCAAGATGGTTAGTAGCTCATCAAGAAAGAACACAGAAATACTTTGCCATCTGGGGAGTAGACTAGTAATCTTCTTTAATTAAAGGTACTATTTGATATTTTGACATGGCCATAAAAAAAAAAGGTAGCAGATTTGTTCAGGAATACTGTCACTGCTATTTTAAAAGATCCTGAAAGTGATCAGCAATTAATAAGAGAGAAATTACTACTCATTCTCAGAGCAAATAATCAATCTTGCAACCCATAAAATCTTGCCTCTTCCATAACATTATGAAAAACAATACAACATGTACAGTATATTCAAAAGATGAATTGTATCTGTAAGGCACATGATGTCATGGCAACAAACATGAAATGAACATGAAAACATAGAAGACAAGACGAATAAAGAGTTATCAACTGGGCGGAATTTCTACAGAAATCCTCAGCACTGGAAATTGCATGCTTGACCTGGAAATGAATGTTACGTTTTTCAGCCAATCCTAGATCTATCATGTGACTTTAGGCTCAGGGAGTTAAAAAATGTATCTAAAAAAAATCATCTAATGCAAGCCAGAATGCCTTTGACTCATATTATTTGACAAGAACTAAATGTTATTTAGGCTATCAGCAGAAGAAATGGCAATGAAATGTGTATACTATCTATCTAGCTTGGGAGCCGCTGGGGTGACAATGTGATGGACATTTTCGATCTATTTCATCTACCTTTACATGTATGTTCTATAGCTTGGGGCCATTTTGGTGACAGCTGAAGAATCTTGAAACATACGTGAAGGATTTCCACAAGTTTCTATCGTCAGCTGTTTTGCTTCCTTAATACCCCCAAAGACATTCCTACCCACTGCTTGTGTATCAAGATCCCTTTAACTCTTTGATAATAATAATTCCACATTTTGTTGTTTGGCTAAATAACTCTAGATTCAGAACCCTAAAAAATATACAATATCCAGGAGGAAAAAGAGCAAACATTTCTGCACACACTGCATCCATTTTTCTTGCATGACTATATTGCGTTTGATGCCAGGAACTTTAAAAAGGAAAATAAGCTTTAAAATTCTTAAATTGGCAACAAATTGAGAGGTTCTGAATCATTATTATTGATCAAAATTGGCAATTTTCTCTCAACCTTTTGACAAAGTATGTACACATAAATATGTTCTTAGAGACATTTTGTTTTATAGAATGAAGGAGCAAGAACGACATATGATCAATTCAGCCCTTAGAATAAGTCCTATCCTGAAAGGGTTAATGTTCGAACCATCATTCAACTTTACTTAACAGCTAGCAGGGTATGTCAGGTATTTGGACTTTGTATGAACTTGGAAAACACATCATTAGTGACACAAGAAGATCCCTACAATAACTCTTAAAGGTGAAAAAACTGAAACACTAAGTCAGTCACTGGATCAGTGGGTAGGATTGAATGATGCTTGTTATCAAAGGCTTAGTGTGGGTGATGTTAAAGGTATAAACCAGTTTTGGAAATGCCCCCCCCCCCCCCTCCTAAAAAAAAATGAAATGGAAGCTCTTATTACCAATCATGTGAAAGAATATGTTTTGACTAATACGTGATGATACAAATTTTGCCGGGAAACCGCCTACTAATTGATATATTTGGTAAATTATTATATCTATCTGGCCTGGATGGATATCGCATAGTTCCATATACATCTTTCTGTGTACGGTGCTTGTAACTTTACCAAGACTGGGCCAAACTTCTTATCATTTCGATGATTCCAGAACCTTGCAGTACACACCAATACTTATATGCTAGATGATCAACCTTTTCTGATCGATTCCACAACGTTTCTTTCACAATGCAATCGCATGACCAGAACTGGTTTATACCTATAAATATAGTCTGGTGTTCTGACACTGCCACTGCATTTCAACTAAAAGTGTTTGAAAGTCATTCTGAAACTGTTTATTAAGCAGCTCTCGGCTTGTTTGGAAGCAAAATGTATACAGACTCATGAAAATGACTTAAATCACATACACTGAAAAATAGTATAACTATATGAAATCATGGGACTACAGTGTATTCTATCACTGGGTGAGATCGGCTCGATTTCCTTAATCTTCATTGCCGATTATTTAAGCATCTAATATTTCCATCAAACTGATTTGTCAAATGACACCTCTTTCATGAGCTATAAACAGTAAGAATAACTTTGACATATTTTGTAAGAATATATTTTATCATCACCATCATACCAAAGAGAATCTTTAACATGATTGAGGAGCTGGGATTATGGCTTTGAAGGGTATCACTGTTTTTTTCATAAAGGTTATCTAACTTAGATGAGAACTTAGAGGCTTCTGAACCTATCAGATACAGGACTTGCATATGGTCGGTTGTTATGTTGTTATGATCAAGAAGATCAAGATTGAGGAGCTGGGATTAAGGCTGTGAAGGGTACAATGTTCTGTCATAACAATTGGTTCTTATATAGCACTCATATCTGTCAGACTCCACAATTATTACCCGACCTTAGCATGGCTGACATTACAGTGCGCTAGCATTTCAAGGAATTGATTCCTGCCAGGTACCCATTTTACAACACCTGGGTCGAGTGTGGTAAATGTACATTAGTGTTTGCCAAAGGACATTGGTGTCGCGGCGGGGACTCGAACCGCGGACCTTGTGATCCACTCGACTATAACGCCTCTACATGTAGGTTATCTAACTTAGATGTTGACTTAGAGGCTTCCTAACCTATTGTATAAGGGACTTGGATATGTTGTTATGTTGTTATAATCTCTTGAATGACAGAGGATTATGGATGGTGAGCTGGGATTATTTACTTTGAAGGGTGACACTGTTCTGTCATGAAGGTTATCTCACTTAGATGTGAACTTAGAAGCTTCTTAACTTATTGGATAAAGGACTCCGATATGATAGCTTGTTATGTCATTATGATTTCTTGAAAGATAGAATATCAAGATTGAAGATGAGCTGGTATAATGACTGTGAAGAGTAACGAGGAGGCGCGATAGCTCATTTGGTAGAGCAGTGGTCTCGTTATCCGGCAACCCGCTAGTGCCCTTTGGTAAGGCATTAATCCTCATTACCAGGTCCCTCGAAGAGGACCTAAAGCCGTCGGTACTCTCGTTGCTGATTAACAAGCATGTATGCTTTCTTAGCAGTCAGGTAAAATGACCACCACAACACACTACACACTGTTCTGTCATGTAGGTTATCTAAGTTAGATGTGGACTTATGTAAGCCTATTGGAAAGAAAGAATTCTACCACTTAACCATTGCGCCTCTTTTTCTATGTCGATCTTGGCTCAAAGAAATCCTGTAGTACTTATTGAAACTCAAAAAAGATTCATGACTTATGGAAATAAGTATCATGAAACCGTTTTCATAGCAAGATAAAAATGAAAAAGGCGCTATGACATCTCATGACGTTTCTATAAACATGGTGGCGCTGGATGAGCAGGGGTGATAGTGAGCAACCCTCAACCTAGCCCCCCCCCCCCCCCCTCCTTGAGTAAAAAAAAAAAGGATTCGGGGGGGAAATGGCATCTTACAACATTCACCCTTTCTTGAGTAAGAAAATTGAAGGAATAACAGGAAAAATAGGGAAAAAATAGGGAAAAATAAGGGGAAAATTGGGAAAATAGGGGTAAAATCAGGGAAAAAAAAAAATGGGAAACTGATTTAAATCGGGTAATTATTAGGCCTGATGAGTTAACTTACCATGTGGCTTCTGTCCAGTGGAGGCTGTACTGCTCGTAGATGAAAACTTCTGGATGTTGGACTGCATCATGTCCACGTTGCCTTGCAAGATGGGATTAAGGTCGGAAAGGTCATCTCCATCAACCAGCAGGGCAAGATGGATTATGGTTTGACATAACTGTGGTGAAAAAAATAGAATCAGGACAAAAAAGTCATGAATAAAGATAGTTGATACAAACGTATTGATTCATGTCAAGGGGTCAGTGACACAAAAACGTAACTCCATTTTAGCCATTTTGAGAAAAAGTGGTTTATGTGTTACTGAGCACTTGGGCCATAAGGAGTTAAGTCTATGTTTCACTAGCCATTGACTTAAATGTGGTTTTGGGTGGAGTTAAGTCTTTGCGTTTCCTGGGAAGCCCACATTTTTCTGAACATTTTGATATCAAATACTCATTTTGGCAAAATATGGAGTTACGTCTTTGTGTCACTGAACCCCCGATGTACTGCTTTGTTTTTGTTATTCATGGTTATAAATAACCTAAAGACTCGCCCTGGCATTTAACACCGAGACTTAAAGGGATATGGTCAACAATAGACCGATTTACTAACATATTCCAATTTTAGGCATACTGTTAAAAAAACAGTCGTTCATGACAACCCCAGAAAAGCTTGCCCAAGACTTGTCTGACATAGCTTCAAGTTATGTATTCAGACTGGATGCCAAGTATTGTAGTTCATTCATCAATAACAGGTTAATGAAATACCCTGGGTCCCCAGGAAAAAGGCATCCATACCTTTGGATATGGTAGTAATCCAGTCTATTTTCCATGTGCAATATCATGAGTCCCTAATACCAGACTTATTAGAAATACCATTTATGGGTGTACAAAGTCTTCCAAACAGCGAGTTAGATGTCCCACCAATATACACCCCCAGTCACTCTTAGGGTCTTCTGGTGAGAATCTATTTATGATGACGACCTTTGTTTATGCGGCAATCGATGGAAAGTGCAGAGCATTTCATAAGACCAGGACCCTGTTCTGTAAAACTTGTTATCAATAACAAATGCAAATTTTGTTTATGACAAAGTTGCTCTCAGCCAACCTAATGCTACAATTTCAGTAGCTTATAACAGTTATTGTAAACCTTTTAGTGAAAAAACAAACTTGATTAAGCAGGGTCCAAATGTTAAAAATAAGGACGACTCCCAGAGATTGCTAGCTTCTATTATCAGATGAATACCCGAATGGTATCAAATTCCCCATGAGAACCCATGCTTACATGTATGTGTCTTTAATCTTTCTACCGCATAATACAAATTTTCAATTACAATGCAAATTGTCAGAAGCTATGGCGCTCGCTTGGCTGACCTTTCATCAAGAATTTACCTAGACAGGAAAAATCATTGCAATGACGCAAGTTCAAAGTAATTATCTTCCCCACAATATCTTGCTCAAGTTTCTAATCTAGCTTCTGGAAGAACATGTCAGTCATCTTTTAGAGTTGCCATATTCCAGTCAGGGTGCAATTACCAAAATCCAAAGTCCTACTTTTAATTCTTTACACCAGGTCTTAGCTTAACTTGGAAGATAAATTTAGCAGTCACTGGTCGATTATGAAGGTGATCTTTCTGTATATATGACAACAAGGATTATGATCTATCATTCAAAAGAATGCAGCCCTAATCCTTTTCATGATGCCAGCTGAAAATACCATCCAAGTATCTGAGTGTTAAACAGGTGATCTAATCTATGCTCAGGCAAGAATTACTCCAGGATTTCTTTCACCAATGATAGAGGGTCAAGTTTGGGATTAGGATTGCAATTTGCCTGTAGGTTAGGTTTAAGATTAGTGTTAGAGTTAGAGTTTGAGTAAGGTTCAGGTAAGGTCTAGAGTGGCCACTTTTTCTTTGTCCCTTGGGTGGCTTCAATAGACAGGCACCTAACCCTCACCCTGATCCTAAACCTAAACCTAAACCCCAACTGCGACAATAAACCTAACCTTATGTATGTTCAGTGGAAAACACTCTGTCCCTTGGATAGGACGTTACATGGAGGCCCCATGTAGAGGAGAGTCCCCACCTTTGCACATTAGGAACCCACTGCACTATTCGTATACCGGTAAGTGTAGGGGGGAACCCTGGTCTACTGGTCCACCTGCACACCCCACTATACCAGTATACCCAGATGGACCTTGTGGAAGATTAGCCCTGTGCTAAACAAGTTATCCAATAAATTCTACTACTACTACTACTATTCTTTTGACAAGATAAAGCCTGGAGCAATTGTCGTCGGAGCAAATGTCAGGTCATCATTTCATCCTTTCGAGTCCCTATACTGACCTGATCTCGAAGTGTATCTCTGTACTTCAGCTCAGATATCTCTGACACCTGACCGATGACCGCCGTGGCTTGGACCAGACAGGACCACACCCTGGTGAACTGATCGATGGAACCGTAATCAAGTCTCTTGGATGGGATGGAGAGCGCTAGGGCACCATTGATCCGCACCTGTAAGGGTGGATAAAAGGATAAAGAGTAAATTATGAAGGAAAATTCAAAACATTGTTAAAGGTAAAGACCAGTTTTGGAAACGCCCCCTCTCAAAAAATGAAATGGAAGCTCCTTTCGCAAAACTTCTGCTGAACTTTGGAACAGATTACCTTTAAATGTAAAAAACTGTCAAACCGTTAACCTATTCAAAACTAGTCTCAAGACACATTTATTCAAAATTGTGTTCAATGATTAATTAACTCTGTTCACTTTGACTTGTATTCCATATGTATTGTAATTTGTATGTTTATTTGCATTTTTAGTTTTGTATAAGATGTAATTGTATATCAGTCTATTTTGTGTGTATAGCGCTTAGAGACTTCGGTGGTAAGCGCTTTTATAAGTAACGTTTTTATTATTATTATTATTATCACTAATCATGTGAAAAAAATATGTTTGGACTAATACGTGATGATACAAATTTTGCCACGGAACCGCCTACTAAGTGATATATTTGGTAATTATTATATCTATCCGGACTGGATAGATATAGGGTAGTCCCACATACATCTTACTGTGTACAGTGCTTGTAACTTTACCAGGACTGGGACAAATTTCTTATCATTCAGATGATTCCAGAACCTTGCAGTACACACCAATACTTATATCCTAGATGATCAACCTTTTCTGATCGATTCCACAACATTTCTTTCACAATACAATCGCATGACCATAACTGGTCTTTACCTTTAACAAATATTGAAACAACTTTGATTATGGGGCCTTTCAACTAATGACAATATATTCTAAACATGCAGATTTGTAAGGACCAAGGTAATAAACCACTGTACAATGCTGTGATGGGTTTCACTGTTGTTGAAAGCGTGTGAAATTGGACATGCGTTATATAAACAGTATTTTTATTGCTCCACTTTAGTAACATTCAAATTTCATATCATCATAGGAATCATTCCCATATCAAGTCATTCTAGAAGTGTTTTATATCAACAATTTGGAATGGAATTCAGAAGGGATCTACATATATATTGTAGAGTAAAACTGGGTAACTATGCCTCAGATTCTTCAAATCCTCAAATCCTGGATTTAGCTCATGCTGCAATCATAATTATAAACATTTAGGTCATACTTGAATCTCATTACTTTTACAAGCTAATTGCCTGTCTGATTATCACGAAATCTATGATTGGAATTACAAATGTCAGAATTTGTTTTCCTAACAGTTTTTATTACACTACGGTCTATTGGAAAATGAATACGGTAAAACCAGTCACTGAAAGATTTTGAGGAACTTCATGATCATCTTGAAGCACATTTTTTTGTTAGGGCTTCAATATTACACCATATCACAGACACTGATAACACGTAGGGCCATGCATCTCAGATTTAACATTGTTAGACGATCCCTTTAAAGGATCACACTCACTAACTGTCTTACTGCAGGATACAGCAGAAGAAAAAAATCACAACAAAATTGTCAATATGTCTATTTTCATATTTTGAACTTGTACTATGAGCCAGTCTCATGAATCTTTTAAAGCCTGTCTGTACTAGTTTGGCCAGGGGGTTTCAACCTCCCTGCAAGGTCACTGACGGGTGGTTATCTTATCAAATCAGCTCTCAATTAACACAAGAAAGGGGGATCAAGGGGGACCAACAGGCACTGATTAGGCATTGTATGCTACAGGTGTGTATATAGGGGTGCAAGTACATGTAGATATAAGTAGCGCAGTGGGGCTTTAAAGGCTACTGGAAACCCTTTTTGACCATCTTACCTTGAAGTTCTTACACTCTGTGATGACCTTAATGAGTGACCTGTAGACCTCTGACCCCCACGGTGCCGTCCCAAGGCCAAGGTTAGGGTTACGGAACATGTTCCCCAGAGCATAGCATGCATTCCATCGCACCTACGGTTACACAAGAACAGACAGAATACAAATAAGAATAAAGCAGTCAAACCTGTCTATAGCGACCGCCCAAGGGAAACACAAAAAGTGGTCTTTGTAGACAAGTGGTCTTTGTAAAAAGGTTCCTTTAGTACATGTTTTAATGAGAAACCATTTGCAAGGGAAACAAAAAATGTTTTTTTGTAGACAGGTGGTCACTAAAGCACGTTTCACTGTAGCACATGAAACCAACAGTTACAAGATAGATCGTCTGACAATTGTTCTGATAATTATCTAGACAAACTTTTTTTTTTTCTGTCTTGTGGGCTGTCAGTCTACTGGGATGAAAAACGAAACCATAACCACAATCACAAAATTAAAGATATATTCCTTAGCTGTCTACATGGAAATAGTAGTTATTTCAAACACAAGCAGGGGGAAATCCCTGTGTAGACTACAGGGACTTGTACACGTGTACATCCAGGGGGTGTTTCACAAAGATCCTAAGTCAAACTGAACTCTAAATTGGACTTAAACATTATGGAGAGCCATATGTAGCCTTAAAATAAAATATACTGGTATACAAAAGCAAAATTTCAAGTATTTTAGACTTTTCATAAATTCCACATCAAGAACAAGAAATCTCCTTGATAATAGAAAATCTGAATGATTTGAATCAACATTTTATGCCTTAGGGTTAAATATTTTCAAAGATGCTGACGACTTTCCATAACTGTTAAGTCCAACTTAGGATCTTTGTGAAACACCCCCCAAGTCATTTATTCCAGGAGGGGAAACCCAAGTGTTTTGTGATCATGTTCCCATCCAAGGCAAAGGTGATGCCAAATGAATAATGTTCATAATAACTGTCTTCCTGAATATCGTTAGAAATTTGAGTACATTGAGACTCATCGTTTATTCAAGATCTGTCTCAGGAGATAAAAACTAAAATTTAATTTTTTTTCAACGATATGTTGCTTTTCACAAAATCAACAGGGATTGGCGAGAATGATTACTTTAAAACTGATATCCACACAATGCCACCGAGCTTGCAAATACGTATCATATTTTTTGGGCATCGTTATTGTTTTTGTTGTAATTTTATCATTTTTAATATCCGTAATATTGCATTCAATATTCAAATTAAGGATGCATTTAAGCCTTCTTCCCTCATCTTCTCATAAACTTTCACATTCATGTGTTGTTTATCTGCTTGTTACCTTCACACATGTATCTATCTTCAAACCCATATTTTATAAGAAATTATTTATGATCTCATTATCATTTACAAAATAATTATTTAAAAATTGAATTAAAATGAAATATTTTAATCACCTTGACAGCACCTCCATTGATGTTCTTGAGCAGAGCCATCACAGCTTTCTCTATGAGAGTCTGAAAACTGGATTTAGCTAAAGAAGAAAATTGTAAAAGAGAAAGAAGTAGAGAAGAGGGAGAAAGGGAAGGAGGGAGAAAGGGAAGGAGGGTGAGGAGGAGGGAAGGAGGGAGAGGAGGAGCGAGTGAGAAAGTGAAGGACAGAAAGCATGAGAGAGGAAGAGAGTGAGAGAGAGAGAGAGAAAGAGAGAAAGAGAGAAAGAGAGAAAAGAGAGAAGAGAAAGAGAGAAAGAGAGAAAGAGAGAGAAAGAGAGAAAGAGAGAGAGAGAGAAAGAGAGAAAGAGAGAAAGAGAGAAAGAGAGAAAGAGAGAAAGAGAGAAAGAGAGAAAGAGAGAAAGAGAGAAAGAGGAGAGGGACGGGGAGAGAGGGAGGGTATAAAGAGATGAAAAGAGCACGGAGAGAGGGTGATAGGATGGGATAAGAGAGAAAGAGAGAAAGAGAGAAAGAGGAGAGAGGGAGGGTATAAAGAGATGAAAAGAGCACGGAGAGAGGGTGATAGGATGGGATAAGAGAGAAAGAGAGAGAGAGAGAAAGAGGAGAGAGGGAGGGTATAAAGAGATGAAAAGAGCACGGAGAGAGGGTGATAGGATGGGATAAGAGAGAAAGAGAGAGAGAGAGAGAAAGAGGAGAGAGGGAGGGTATAAGAGATGAAAAGAGCACGGAGAGAGGGTGATAGGATGGGATAAGAGAGAAAGAGAGAGAGAGAGAAAGAGGAGAGAGGGAGGGTATAAAGAGATGAAAAGAGCACGGAGAGAGGGTGATAGGATGGGATAAGAGAGAAAGAGAGAAAGAGAGAAAGAGGAGAGAGGGAGGGTATAAAGAGATGAAAAGAGCACGGAGAGAGGGTGATAGGATGGGATAAGAGAGAAAGAGAGAGAGAGAGAAAGAGGAGAGAGGGAGGGTATAAAGAGATGAAAAGAGCACAGAGAGAGGGTGATAGGATGGGATAAGAGAGAAAGAGAGAGAGAGAGAAAGAGGAGAGAGGGAGGGTATAAAGAGATGAAAAGAGCACGGAGAGAGGGTGATAGGATGGGATAAGAGAGAAAGAGAGAGAGAGAGAGAGAAAGAGGAGAGAGGGAGGGTATAAAGAGATGAAAAGAGCACAGAGAGAGGGTGATGGGATGGGATAAGAGAGAAAGAGAAGTGGGAGAGGGAGAAAACAATGATATTAAATTTACATCAAGAATTATCACATTTGTATAATGGTCACTGGCATTTTCAGAGTAAAATTAGTTTAATAGTTACTACTACTGAGGGATCAAATAGAAAAGACAGTAATAAAGACAAAAGAAACCATACATACATAGTAACATTACTTTAACATGAGACAGATCTATAAGCAGAACCTGAGCCAAAGGTTAGAAAGAGACAGAGAAACGGGGAGAAATAGGGAGAAACAGGGAGAAACGGGGAAGAAAAGACTAGACAAGACTACACAAGAGAAAGTGAGACGAAGCACCGGAAAACAAAGTTCTGACAGTTATCCTTCCTGGATTACGGCACATATTAACCACGAGCGACACCTCGCGCTAATAAAAGATTCACACATTCAGCACATCCATGTCAATATTCAAAAAGGAAAGCAACTCCAAAAGAAGTAGGACAAACCAATTCAACACCTGCTTAATATGCATAGGTTTGCATCCCGTTGACTTACAAAACTCATCCCGTTTAATATCAGGCGTACTCCGTACATCCTCTTGGTATATGATGAAAAGTAATCTTGTTAGGAATAAACAAGGGTGTAAGGGATGAACAATCAAAAGGGCAAAAGTTGCAACCATCAGAGTGCTCATCCCTTTAAAGGTAAAGACCAGTATTGGAAATGCCCCAATTTCAAAAAATGAAATGGAAGCTCTCATTACCAATCATGTGAAAGAATATGTTTTGACTAATACATGATGATAAAAAATTTGCCGGAAACCGCCTATTAATTCATATATTTGGTAAACTTGTTTCTCTCATGGTCTGTGAGAGATATAGGGTAGTCCCATATACATCTTCCTGTGTATAGTGCTTGTAACTTTACGAAGAATGTGCCAAATTTCTTATCATTTTGATGATTCCAGAACCTTGCAGATGTTAGATGCTAGATGATCAACCTTTTCTGATCGATTCCACAACGTTTCTTTCACAATGCAATCGCATGACCATAACTCGTCTTTACCTTTAATAACAAGGAATATGTACGAAACCAGAACGAATAGAGATGGAGAATCGTACGTGCGGTGGACTTGTTTATTCTAAAGTGACATTATACAGGCTCAAAATTGCAGATCCTTGTTTTTGACATTTGAGGCATCACCGTATGATATTCTAAAACCTGAAATTAAGACTTTGTTTTTCACTTGGAAATGTTTAGAGATGAATTTAGACGCTGCACGTTTTACTACACCCTCTGGGTTCGTTCATACATGCCATAGTGTACGGTGGTGGTTTAACACGGGAACTTTTTAAACCATATCTTATAACATATGGTCAAGTGAGTACGCGTAGGACTAATTGTTGAGTGCAGCAACTTTTTTCATCCCCACTTGCCATTTATTTAGTACACAAAAAAAAATCAAGTGCTGTAAACAGCAGCTAATTACAATGAGCCTTAAAGCCTGTCTGCACTAGTTTGGCCAGGATGGATTAGACCTCCCTGCGTGGTCACAGACAGGTGGTTATTTCATCAAATCAGCTCTCAATTAACATAAGTAAAAGGGAATCATGAGGGACCAACAGGTACCGCTTAGTCATTGTTTGCTATATAGAGGGCGCAAGTAGCTACAAGTAGTGCAGTCTCGCTTTAAAAAGGGTAGAACTGACTAGACAGTACATTTTACACTAGAGCGAAGTTACCGGTAGCTATGAAGTCAACTTCATACAGGTCTTGATTCTTGATGTGCAATCATCGCATTAAATACGAAGCGTCCCTTGAGGACGGTTGATACATCATCATGGGTCTCGGTAGCTTACTAAGATAATTTTTCATATCCAGAAACACTTTATTACTATTATCACACGATTTACATCTAATCTTGATGTCTCCTATTACCTATTAGGGAAGAGAGATGAAATCAAATTTGTCTTTCCCTGTGGGGTATTTCCATGATTTCATTTGAGTGCAATCTTCCAATAAGTGAGCACTTGTCACCAACGACGACGATGAAAAGCTAAGAAACCTCATCCAGCCTTTCCTTCTAATCTTTGACCCAAATCTGGTGAGGTGAGAAAGACGTCAGCTCCGAAGTTATCATCACAGGTCGGTTCTCCCTCACGGAGAAATCAATAAGAGGGTCTGTTCACACAACAGACAAATGTGTGTACTGTTTGATTTTCAACATTTTGTTCATTCTTGCTCACTCTGATGAAGACAAGGTGAAAAGTTTCAGCATGTCATTATTTATAGCTATTCTCCAATTTTGGAATGACAGTTATCTACATGTATGTTCCAAAATGTTGAACAAGAAACATACAACGACTGTGAAGCAAAAGCATTGTCCACATTGAATATGAGAATTCATAAGAAGTAATACATTAAAGCCTGTCTGCACTAGTTTGGCCAGCAGGGATTAGACCCCCTGCATGGTCACTGACAGGTGGTTATCTCATCAAATACCTCTCAATTAGCATAAGAAAACGGGGATCATAAGGGACCAACGGGTATTGATTAGGCATTGTTTGCTTTATTGAGGGCGCAAGTAGCTACAAGTAGTACAGTCCCGCTATAATGAGGAACAAGCACAACAATGTTTAATCCCCATTTAAACATTTAAACACGAGTGACATGGTGAGTCGACCCAACTTTTTTTTGGAGTATCCACAACTCAGTGATTTTGTGTTACCCCATGTTCATATGAGATAAATGTAATCAATTAACAACTGTAGTTTCTTGTTTAGTGGCACAGCTACAGGGGGCACAGGGGGACACATCCCCCCTCCTTCATGGTTAAAAAATGTTTTAAAAGAAAGAAAAAAAAGGAAAAAAGAGGAAAGGGGAGAGGAGAAAGGTCACATGAAAGTAAACTGCTGTGACCCCCAACACCCCTTAATTAGTGACCTTATTCATTTGCATTTGCATCTATCAAGTAAAACCTTTTGCAGCCACTCTATGATGCGAGTGCCTCCTCCCCCCTCCCCCATGTCTGGAACCAGGTTAAATGTATATGATAGCTGAAAATATTCACACTTTTGGATATTTGTATGATGCATATAATGGGGGGTGGGGGTGGGATAAGTCATATATTTTCCACTACCCTCACTCATTCAACATCTTCATAAGATAACCTTATTATTTTATAGAATTCTACATTGACATTCTACGTTTACAAAGCAGTACCAAATCAGTGATCACCTAGTTTTCACAAATGAGCGGGCTCCGTAACACAAGGCTTACCAAGTGATTTGTGTTACAGGCTAGGTCTAAATTATGCTTGAAAGGTGTTGTGGAGATTTAATTAAGTACAGCATAATTTAACATTAGTGGGACAATGAATAAAAAAGAAAAATCAACTCAAAGGGTGGTATAACATTCAATTGCTTTTCACTTTAAACTGCGTAATGTGTGTGTTTTTCCTTCCTAACAAGTTGTATTCAACCTATAGATATGCAAAATCTGATCCCAAAGAGACTGAGAAATGAAAAATAAAGTTACATAAGGCCTTAACTTTTAATGCCTCGTTTGGGCAGAAATTAGGTGTAAAATATTTTCACTGGGAACCAACCATACACTTGCTTCTCTTTCAGAAAGCAAAACAACAGCTGTCCATAGTTCAAAAATATCAAACAATATCAAAATTCTTTGTCAATATCTTTTTAAACAATGGCACAGTACAGGTTAAGGTATCGTCCTCCATTTCTCAAAATTCTGCATCAAAATGTGGAGTGACTATTAAGGAGAGGGATGGTTATTTTGCTTTGCAATGAAAACAGATATGCTCCAGTAACGGGCATCTTAAACCCATGGATGTAGAAACCTCATGAAAATTATCCCAGATTCCAAAACTACATGTGTTCAAATAAGAATAAACAG